GCAGGAATATTTTTTCAGCAATTTTGACATGTGCAAACCATACTGCTGGGCTAGAATAGTAAAGTATTTTCCACACAATGAAAAGTTAAAGGAATAATCAGTGGTTTCTGCTACAGGAATACAGCACACTGAAAAGGGAGGGGTCCAAGGCATCTAAGACTCATTTTTAACCTTCTGAATTTAAAAGTCATCTCAGTGAAGCCAGCTCCAGCTTAAAATTGCAAATCTACTCTCTAGATTCAGGGATATAAATGCAGTTTGAGTCATCTGTTCAAATCCTGGCATTGTTAATTAACTTGTTTCTGTTCTTAGGAGTTTAAAGCAGGAGATACTGCATTCCTAGAAGAGAGGAGTATGCATCCTCTTCCTCAATCCCTACTGCTGCAGAAGCCATCTATTATTCTTACTTTTCAATGTGCTATTCCTTCAACAGCCTATTTATAAATACAAAGAAACTGCACTCAGTAACAGCAAAAGCCAAAATACTTTGTAATCAACACCAGGCATGTACTGAGCAACTGCAATAAATCACATGCAAGGAAAGAGGTGTATATAGCATTTGTCATATTTACATTTATTTATATATTTATACATATTTTTTATGAATACATATACACACACAGAGTCCACACAGACTTGACTACTGATATGATATAAATACAAAAATATTTTAAAAGTTCTTCATCTGTATAAAGAAACTTAAGTGTGATTGTTGTTTGCTCTCTTCCACTGAAATCTGTATGTGGTTCCGAGAATTCTGTGCATGTGCAGCAGAGCAGATCTTAGTACCCTGAAAAAGTTACTTAAACAGAAGTTAATCCTGGGTTACCAATCTTTTGAGTTTTCCATAAACTGGACCCAGAAACCAGTTATTACAAACACATTTAAGTTAATAACAGTACATATACCATCTTTTAACATCTCCAAACAACGCAAGACAGCTTTCTCAAAGATATGCTTTCACCAGTCACTTGCACTTGACCGAAGGCAACCCGTGGAGTGCAATCTTTCTTCTTTGTTGAAGAAAGTTCAACTAGGTGATTTGAAGTTCCCCTCTTTGCTTTAAAGTCCTATTAAGTTTAAGGAAAGGCTCACTTCACCCTTTGGAAGCCTGGCTCAACCTGCAGCCTTACTAGTGGCTCTGCAGAAAAGTAGACGCCTTCTCTAACCTCCCTCACCTGCCAGCATCTCAAATGCATATGCACATTTCAGTTTTAAACCACCGATTAAGTCATTCCAAGCCTTGGACGCTGAGGAAAAACAGCAGCAATACTAAATTCCAGAGTGGTTATACCCCATAATGGACCTACTGCTTGTTTTGTAATATAAGCACTGATGTATGATCATTCAGTATTGAAACAGGAATGCAGTACTATATATTTGGGTTAATTTTTTAGGACAGCCAGTGTCCTAAAGGTAAATCTGAGCCTGTCATATCCTGCAGAACAAGAGAAGAGCACAGTTATAGCCCACACAGCTGGGAGATTCCCCGTGCAGGTTCACTACCGATAGCCACAGAGCACTGCTATCAGGAGAGGTAACACTCTGTAAGCTAAAAGAGGAGCTCGTTTGAGGACACGGATTCTCCTACTTCAAAGTTTGAATCAACACTTTTCCTTCAACAAACCTAAGTAAGATTTGGGATATGCTTTCTTCCCCGACCTTTCTTTACCTGTCTGGAAAAAAGCCCCAGTGTACCAGCACCTGCTTGTCTTTTTTCATCACAGGTCTCAACCATTCATCTGCAAAGGGGAAAGAGATCTAGAATTAGATTCAGATTGTAAAGCACATTAAACACTATTTTGCTTTTCCGTAGTCAGTCGTAGTAAAGTTATTGCAGTTACCTCTGATAAAAGCCTGCTGAAGTGAAATTACAATGGCCTGGCCTGCCACAGTAATACACCTGCCTGCTA